ATTGAATAATCCTTAATATATGCATAATAAATTAGGGATTACTGGAAATTAGGGATACTTTTAGAAATTATAAACCTTTTTATAGTAGGGGAGAAAAACCTGGGATGAATTACCTTTAATTTTGTGACATCTCTTCCATTTAATTTTTTACTGCTTCAGCATATTCACAACAGGTTAGTGTTGTGTTATTTTTCTGCTAGCAGTAACTGGCAAAGATCACATCATTAAAAATGTTAATTTAGCTGTTTTCACAGTTAGATCCATATCTTGCAAATGTTTTTGAACATGCTTTTAAAGGGTGTTTTTGTTTGTAGGACTGAAACATACATTATTTTAATTTTGTTCGTGAGTTGCATTTTCATGGAAGGATGACGAGCACTTTAGCTAATGTGTAAAAGAGTGGAACTAAATAGCAAGTTACTTTGAAAATTATCCTTAATTAAATCCCAGATGTGTGCATGGTTTTTGAAGTACTTGGACATCATCTTTTAAAATGGATAATCAAATCCAACTATCAAGGCCTTCCTATACGTTGTGTAAAAAGTATAATTCGACAGGTAAGAATCACTTAATTTTTTTGTTAGGTAGAACTATATTGTGGGAAAAAATTACCTTGGGTGATAATATGTTCATAATTCAACTGCAGATCTCAATAGGAAATAAGCAGTCTTCCTACAACTGGCTGGTGAGAATATCTTTTCAAGTAATTGGTGTTTATACATATGTTACTCTACTGAATCCTGAGCTGCTTCCAAAAATGTATGGGTCAGTTAGTCTCTCACCAATTTAAGGGTTTTTTAAAATAAGCTTGATTTTTTTTAGTTAATGACTGGATTAGTATTTCTTCTTTTATACTGAGTCACCCTGGGAAAGTATGTTACAGTAACAGTAGATGGTAATATTACAAGTTTTTTTATAGAAAGTTTGTAGTAACTATATACCTCGCTGAAAAAAAATTGTAAAGGTTCATGCTTAAAATCCTAGGATGGGATTTTCCAATGTTGCAAATGATTTGGAAATGTGAGGCCAGATGTGATTAGGAATGTCTGAAAATCCTGCCACTGGACTTTAGAAAAGTGCATTCCTTCATTGTGCAGTACAAGGCAAATTACCTGGAAGGTGCTCATACAGGAGAAATCAAAGAAATGGTGCGTCTTCTTTTGGATATAAGATTCTTTCAAGATCAATGAACAATATGCAATATCTTGCTGATTTCAGGGAATGAGCAGAATATGTGGCAGCACACCATTTTACACGTCTGCAAGTTTATCTCTTAAATTTCTTTCCATATCTAAAATGAAGAGTCAACTTTTTTTAATTAAACAGATTCTATCAAACAAAATCATGCAGATTTTTGCATACCGGTGAAAATTTGTGCTTACAGGATACCAGCTAGCATGGTTATTCGAAGCAATATAACTGTTTTAGGGCAATCCTCTACCTGGTTATCAGGTTAAGATGTCCAGGATGGAGTGCTGTAGTAATGAGGCTTTGCTGAATCTGGTATGTGTGCTGCTTCATTTAGAGCTAGCTCAGGTATCTCCACACAGCGCTACAGTGTGTCTTATAGACCAACCCAGGGAGTAAATTGTAGAATCGGAGCCAAATTTTTTATAAACAGAGGCTAAATATGGTTAGGTGGAGAGTGCTCCTTTTTAAATCCATCTTGCAATATTTATTCTACACAGATTCCTGAAAGAAATGAAAAGCAGTAATGCAAACAACACAGTTCTTTTTATTACTTGACAGGAGTAAGGGAATTTAAATAAGGGAATGGTGCATAATATTTCAATCAAAATAAGCACTGTACATATAAAGGACTGTAAACACAAAAAAAAATAGCGTAGTTGAATTGTACAATGTATGTGGAAGAAAAGGAATCCAGGATAAAAGACAGAGAAACTGTTTGCAAGAGAGAGGAGTTTTAAGACTCTGTGTAAAAGTACTTTCATAAATAGATCACCTGTGTAGGTTTCTCCCTAGTTGGACTTAACTTCCTAATTCAGCTCTTGTAGGACTCCCCAAACTATCCAAGTTACTTGCCTCTAAGGGCAGAAATAATGGCCAGAGGCATCAACTATTCTCTTCCTTGGCAGAGGTCATGTGCCTCTGAACTTCCATTTGCTGTCCCTTGTATGCTCTAGTCAGTTTTTTGATGCTGGTTAGCAAAGGACTCTTTATGTGAGCCATTTCTCTTCTGATATTTTTCCACCTCTGTTTCCTTGCCTTCCAGTCTGATAACTGTTTTGTGCCTCTCAGGATCCAGGGGCATCAATCTGGTGCTAACCTTTGTACCATTGGTTTTGCTCTTCTCAGCTTGATTTTTGAGCTTTGGCTTTTTGGTCAACATCTTTGGAACTTTGGCCTCTGAGGCCTTACTTTCTCTGAGGCTTTGTCTTCTTTTGATTTCAAGGGTTTCAGGTTTTCTTAGCTTTAGGATGCCTTAACAGATCTTTGCTCTAGTGTTTGAAGCTGTTCAGGTGCTAATGGCTTCTACTTAATCACAGAGCAACCTTTGGGTTCCTTTAACACTGAATAAATGTTTTTAGTGATTAGTTTTTCTCAGAGTGAGGTTAGGGATATGATAGGATTTTTCTTTCCCATATGTTATGATGCTTCAAAGAGAAAGGTATATCATCTTGCATAACGTTGTGTGTTAGAGCTCTGAGCTTTGATCCTGGCTCTCACTTCACTGGTGAAGTCTTCAGTTCAAAGTTGTCATTTACTACGCTGAAAAATTCTTCCTTGCATAGAGTAGGGTTGGAAGTTTTGCAAATGGCCCAGAGGACTCTTGAGACAAAGCAATAGGTATGCAAAAAAAAAAAAAAAGAAGAAATCCTTTGACAGGTTAGCTAGTCTCCATGCACATTCAGGTGTACTGGTCTGCATCATTGAGGAAGCAGGCAATAGCATCAGACCTATATGGTCTTAGTGGAATGCTAAACAAATTAATAAAGACCATTCTTAGTTTTAGGAAGTTTGATTCAGAGGCCACACTCGTATGTGCCATGTTCAATACCTATTGATGGACCTTTCTTCCAAGAGTTGGTTCAATACCCTTTTGAACCGAGGTTGTGGACAGCTGTTTATTTCTAGCAGTGCAAATTTCTGGGAAATTTTCAGTGGTAGAAATTTGGGCAAGTGAGGCATTACAGCCTGCAGCTATTTCCTCTTCCCTGCTTCACACAACCTCCCCAAATTAGTCTCACCTTGGTCTGGAGAAGGCACATGGAACAGTGACTACTTGACTCCTCTTGGCAACTGGGAGGGTCATCCCAAGGTGTCAGCCACAGTTATGTGTGTCTGTAGCTTACATAGGGGTTATGCATAAGCTGTTATTTTAAAATTCAGTCTTTCACAAGTATTTTTGCATTGGTGTCTCGGTTCTGTGGTTCTTCCATTCTGGGGAACCAAGATTTTCCCATTCCCTAGAGCAGGGGTTTTCAACCTTTTTTAACAAGTGTGTCCCTGGTGGCCCTCTTTTTAATAAGTGTAGGGGGGGATGGCAAGTGGCCAGACATGGAGCTGGGGGGTGGAGCGGGTGGTGAGCAGCCGGATGCAGAGCAGGGGTGGGG